CACTTCTCTGTTGAAGTACAAAGAAATAGAAGTGGGGTGAGACTAATCCCCACATCAGTTAATGAAGCACGCCACTAAACCAAAGTGATCCCAATATTATATAATGCAGTCTACAGATTTATTGAGTAATATGTCTGCTTCGGTTGCTCACTTTGAGAGTTGAATCACTTTGTTTAAACTGATCTAAGATCAAGTGATGATGATGAACCTACCTGCTCAAAGAAGAATTCTACAAAACAAACAAACCAGGTGTATAAAGTAATACGAAGTGAAGAGAGTGAAGAGAGTGCTGATAATTCACAGAAGCGCCGCACAGCTTAATTCACAAACTCTATCGAGGATCAAAATCAGATATTGTGACCTCATTTAATGTGAAATCAGTGGATCTTCTTTTGGATTGAGCAGATGCAGGTGAAGATGCAATTGATGAGTTCTCTGGCTCAATGATAGAGTCCATAAGAAATGCTGGTTTTGAGGGCGCTTGAAGAGATACAGAGCTGCTACTAAGCATGAGAGCAACGGAAGCCATGGTTGGCCTTCTAGCAACATTTTCTTGAACACATAGTAAGCCTAGCTGTATGCATCTCAACATTTCGCTCCTTGAACCATCCCTCAAGATGGGATCTATAAAATTTAGAGCAGTCCCTTCCATCCAATTTTTCCACGCCTGCATAGATTGAAAAATCTCTAGCTAGTTTAGCCTTAAAATAAAGTCCCTCAATTATTGGCATGATTATTTGACTCTAAAATCACAACAAAATGAAGCTAAGGTCAAGTATCACTTACATTAGTTAGGAGATTCTCCCCTTCTTCTCCATTACTGAGATAGACCTTTTGACCACTGATGATCTCAAGAACTAGCACACCAAAGCTATAAACATCAGACTTAATTGAAAAATTCCCATTCATCACGTACTCTGGAGCCATATATCCACTGGATGCAATAGCTAAAGTGAGGATTTATGTATTTGGACTGCACAAAATTGGTAACTACAAGGTGATTGTTATACTTACAGTGTTCCAACAATTTTACTCGAATTAGCTTGTGTTTGATCCCCTGCAAATAACCTTGCCATTCCAAAATCTGAAATTTTGGGATTCATTTTTGCATCTAATAGAATATTGGCAGCTTTTAAATCACGATGGATGATTCGATATTGAGAATCTTCATGAAGGTACAGAATCCCTTTAGCTATTCCCCCTATAACTTTGTATCTTTTGTTCCAATCTAGTAGTAAACGTTTGACTGGATCTACAAATTCACAAAATTACAAAATTAATGGGTTTATATACATCAGAGGGAGAAATACTATTCTACCGTTGCAAATGAGGTACAATGTTAATACACAGTTTCTCTAACAAAAATAATTTCAAACAAGTTCAAGTCATGCATCACAAATAAAACAAACAAGAATAATTCTTAAGGTGAAAAGAAGAGAGAAACGCACGGAATATAAAGTGATCAAGGCTTAAGTTGGGAGCAAACTCATAGATGAGAAGCCTTTCACTCCCTTCCAAGCAAAAACCTAGGAGTCTAACCAAATTCCTGTGTTGAAGTCTTGCCATTAGTAAGACTTCATTCTTAAATTCAATCTCTCCTTGTTCAGAATTTCTAGAAAGCCTCTTTATAGCTATATCTCGCCCATCTTGAAGCTTTCCCTAAAAGTTGAAACAATATTTAAGGAAAAGGTTATGATTAAATATATGCGCAAAGGAAGCAAGAGTAAACACCTAATAGAATAGGTGAAGTTACCTTATAAACAACACCAAATCCACCTTGTCCTAGCTTGTTCTTGCTGGAAAAGTTATCAGTGGCAACCCTTAATGTGCCCAAGTCAAATCGCAAGGACTCAGCACTAATACTATCATCAACACCTTCAGTGTCGTCCACACCTTCATTGTCATCCACACCTTCATAGGGGAAAAAAGTGAGTTAACACATGAACATATCCCATGAGGCCATGACTTTATTCATCAATCGTTAACTATCATTTTGTTTTACCAAGCCTACAACTATAACCTAATTAATCACGGTATGCTTTCTTGTTGTTTGTAGGAAACAATTCTCACCTGTAACTTCCTGCTTTGACTTCCATCTCTTTCGGAGAAGGGAACAAGTGATCGCAAGAATTGCCATGGAACCAATGGTTGAAACAACAACAACAACAATTATAATAGTTTGTGTAGCAAGTCGCCCATTGTCTGCAAAACCAGAAAAATGTTTATACTTAGCATGCTTGAGAAAAAATCTTTAATAAAATTAAGATTTTTTTTTAGCATCCTTTTAATGTTATACACAAAGTAGGTACAATCATATTTTGTTTGCACCCAATATCAATAAAATCCATTTCTCCAAGGAAAGATGTACTTACCTTTCGCGGGTTTGGTATTATTTGAATTTGAAACAGGAGGAGGACTACCAGAAACCGGAGGGGGACTGCTAGGTGGAGGTGGAGGAGGGTTATAGAAGGGATACAAATCCCACCGGAGAAAACAGCTTGGTTTCTGAACACCACCTCCTTGCTTCCCGCGGCAGCAACTTTCGAAATTAAGTACGCATTGCCTCAAACAGAAATCACAATCACGTTGAGATAAATCGGGTGTGCACTGCGTAAGGGCATAAATTTTTTGAAATTGTGTTAATAAATTCGCTTCTCCTGTGGCAAACTTAAGCCTAGAAGTTCCAGCAGAAGCATTTCTCACTAAACCATCCATTAAACTCTCCCAAATCTGATCAAACTGTGTCAAATTTACAGTGAGATTGCCTATATTATTGAAATGATAAGACGGAGATTGCTCGAGAATTCCGAAGATGTAGCGATTTGCATAGTGTATCGTACAATCTCCCATGGAAATTGCTTCTTTTTGGTTTGGACAGTTAGTGATGAGATCTTGGATTGTTGAATTGATACAACTGGAGCAATCCTCTGCAGAATAGTCTCCCCTGCAACGCGCTAGAGCATATACTTTGTTGGGATCTTCACCGACGCTGGTATTGTAGAAACCACCATTTTCTGAGGTATTAGAGGCTAGAGAAGAGAGAGCGAGGTCGCGGTTCCTGCCATAC